GGTCATCAGCAAAGGCTGACGCATTTATAACAGATTCCAGTATTTGAACGCCGATTGAATTAGGAATAGATTTTAAAATGTCGTCCATTACTATATTAAAAATGAGGAATGATTGTGGGTCTCCCTGCCTGACTCCTTATCGCGGATGAATGATTTCGGATTTTTGATTATCCTTCTCAATATATAATTCGGCTTTTTCGTACACATGTTCAATATATTCTAAAATTTTATTTGGTAAACCTTTTTGTTTTAGTGTGTAAAATATCGATTTGTGCGATACAGAATCAAATGCTTTTCTGATGTCTAAGAATGCCATATAGAGTTGTTTTTTATTATTTTATTATTCCACGCATGATAACAAATTTATTATTCCTCTCTGTCTATTTTCAGGTTTTAAGGGAATATATAATCTATTAGCAAGAATCTTGTGATAATGTCTCATGATAACTGACGATACCGATAACGACCGATAATTAGCTGGATTTAGGTTGTCATTTCCTTTTGGAATTAATATAGTTCTTGCTCTTGCCCACTCAGATGGAATTTTCGCAGAAAATAAAATTATATTCATTACAATTGCTTTTATCCTATTAGGTACTCTATTCATCCAAATTTTAGCTTGAAGTCCATCTGCATCTTTCGCTGTATCAAGCTTTGGTTTAAATTTAATGACTTCCTCTATCGTAATCTCTTTCAATATGTCGTCATGTGTCCTATTACTAGGTTGCGTATCGTTTATCTGAATATTATCCTTATATTTTTCAAAAATAGATTTCCAATGTATTATTAATTCTTCGAGAGGTAGTTGTCCTGTGTCATCTTTTTCACCATCTATAATTAAGTTTGCAGTTCTGGTTTGCTACGCGGTATTTCGCGGCTAGCTCGGTAGTTGCCCGCGAACCCCGCCTCGCCAGCGAATTCTCGAAACGGCCCTTCGGACCTACCCCGCGACCACGACCGTCGCGGCGCCTCCGCGGATTCGCGAACGAGTAGCACTTCGGCGCCCGATTCGAATCCGTTCGATACCGCTTTGATTTGTTATTTGATTGGGCGCCAGACGCGTTTCCGCGTCGCGATAAGGAACTTCAACGCGAGTGACTCGAATCGGCGGCGGAACGGCTCGGCAGCTCAGTATCCGTACGCGATGGTAGAGTGGCGTGATTCTTACAGGGTAAGGAGGCTAGACGCGGAGGCGGATTTGATAGAATATTCCGGGATAATTCGTAAGAGACCTCGACTCAGCAGTATTTAGTAAAAGCAGCGCTGTTTATTTAATTCTAATTAATCTAGGCGATGAACAGTATGATCCCGTACCGACAACCAGTTCGCTCATTGTTGCTTAGCGACTGACCGCTGTCCGAAAATTCCGTGATTCTAATCCCGTGATCGGGAATCTAATGCCAATTCCTAAGCGTGATGTAGTCATCGATTTCCGGAATGATACGCGGCGCAATTATCTCTACGCAATTCTAATAGCTAACGAAACGCGATGTCATTAACCTAACGCGACATAACGCGACGAAACGCAAATATTCTAGACGCCCGAAAATTAACGCAATTAACTAACGCGACGCGACTTATTCTACGCACGAAATGATTCTGTATCGACGACCGTCTAGAGAGAGAAGGCGAGAACTAGCGCGACAAACTACGAAATGTCCGATACGACAAAACATGCACTTTCCGATCTGCTCCCGCGTAAATGAGAATTCGAAATCGAGACGTGGGTGGGCACAAAATTTTGCAACGCTTTCACGAGACTAGAACTAAATCGTGGCTACCGCGATACCAATCCCCCGGTCCGTTTCAGTGACCTGCCGGGTGTGGCTTATAGCTAGATCGAGAAGCGATCTTCCTATCTCACGATACTTCTAAATTTCCCCGCAATTACCTAACCTAATTACTAACTAACGCTCAATGCCGACACCCCGGCCACATTTTGCAGAATCGGCTGGTGACTGGTACACTCGCTGATCGAAAACCCACGGTACGTTATTCTCGATTTCGGATTCTTTACAACGATATAAGGTGAGGGGCTTACCGAGATGTCCGACAAGGCACAGGGTCCTCGGGCCGCAGCGGCGATACAACTTCGAAAAGCGGAACAAAACGAGATACTAATGTCGCGTTCCCGAAAGGGCAAATGCCGAATACAGAATGCTAAACCGCGTGCCCCTTTGCCGGTATTCGGACACCTCGTGATCGCCCCCACCCTAGGCCGAAGTTTCCGTCTTCTCGCGAAGGCATCTTCGGCAGGATCTCCTCTTGCTCCGCGACCTCTCTTCCTCTATCGCAGGTCCTTAGCGGGGAAGCGGCAGGGTAGCGGAACCTTCCTTAGGCGTACGTCGCTCTCTCGCCGATCTTCGTCCCCTTACTCCGCTGCCTCTCTTGGCCTATTACTGGGTCCGAGCGGGGTGGCGGCAGGGTAGCGGTACGTTCCCTCGACGTACGGTGTTCCTTCGCTGGATGATGACGTCGTTATCCGATGGTATATACAAAATAAAGCGGCGACAGATTCCGATCGTACGATATTATATGCGCTTCGTTCTCTCTCTAGACGGTATTTGCCCTTAATGCAATGACTGTCCGGTCTCCCGAGGAGGATCCCTGTGACGGGTATAAAATACCACGTCACACGGTACGGGATCACACTGTTCATCACCTAGATTAATTAGATTTAAATAAACAGCGCTGCTTTTAACGAATACTGCTGAGTCGAGGTCTCTTACGAATTATCCCGGGATATTTCCTCAAATCCGCCTCCGCGTCTAGCCTCTTTACGCTGTAAGAATCACGCCACTCTACCATCGCGCACGGATACTGAGCTACCGAGCCGTTCCGCCGCCGGTTCGAGTCTCTTGCGTTAAAGTTCCTTATCGCGACGCGGAAACGCGTCTGGCGCCCAATCAAATAACAAATCAAAGCGGTATCGAACGGATTCGAATCGGGCGCCGAAGTGCTACTCCTCTGCGAATCCGCGGAGGTGCCGATTGAGGTTTCTCGCGAATTGTCCCGAATCAATTACTCTCGTCCGCCTCCGCGTCTGGCTCCTTTACCCTTAAAGAATCCCGCCACTCTACCATTTCGTACGGATACTGAGCTACCGAGCCGTTCCTCCGCCGATTCGAGTCTTTCGCGTTTTCCGGGATTGACTTAGCGATTGAACTATCTTTCCACTGTAGAGTCACGTTTCGCGTTAAAGTTCCTTATCGCGACGCTGAAAAGCGTCTGGCGCCCAATTAAGAAATAAATCAAAGCGGTATTGGACGGATTCGAATTGGGCGCCGAAGTGCTGCTCGTCCGCGAATCCGCGGAGGCGCCGCGACGGTCGTGGTCGCGGGTTAGGTCGGAAGGGCCGTTTCGAGAATTCGCGGGCAACTAGCGAGCTAGCCGCGAAATATCGCGTAGCACAGTTTTAGTGGGTGTGCGTAGAAACCGTCCATCTTCCAGGGGGGCCGGAAGCGAGAGTCCTACTCTATCTGGGCTATCTTCCCAGATGACCATTATTGGATTTCTGTCTTCCTAACTCAAAAAAAAAAAGTTTGCCCCCGATCTCGAACCTCGTGTCTATCACCTCCTCTTTCCCTTTGTTATGGAGTGTCGCGCATTTCTTGGCGTTGAATGCGAGGCCCAATCTTCTTGCTATGTCGTAGATTATATTTGGAAGCTCCCGCATCTCCTCCTCAATCGCCGCTAACAGCGCGACATCATCCGCGTACGCCGAAGTTGTTATCTTTTTCCCGGCGATATTGTGGCCGTGGCCCGATTCCACGGATCGATCTTGAACATCTCTATTGTGATATTGAACAGGAGAGGGCTGAGGGGGCACCCCTGCTTGATCCCAGATCTTATGGGGATTCTCTCCGTAAACCCCTCACCCGTCCTGACCCTCGTCGAACAGTCTGTATATAGGCTGTTGACGATATTGACTACCGCCGTTGGAACGCCAGCGTTGGCCAGCAAACCAGTGATGGCGGAGTGGGGGACCGATCCGAACGCGTTCAAGAGGTCCAGCCACGCCACCAACAACTCCTGTTTTCTCCGCTGAGCGTCTTCAAGGCTTGCCTGCAACACGAAGTTGTGCCCAAGACAACCTTCGTGCGGCAGGAAGCCCTTCTGGGATTCAGAGAGCCGTTTGTTCATAACGGCCCAGGAAGTTAGGCGGTCGGCCATGACAGCAGCGAAGAGTTTCGGCGTAGTGTCACCCATCGCGAGCGGGCGCCAGTTCGCCAGGTCATTCCGGTCACCTTTCTTGTATACAAGAACGGTGTTTGACTCCTTCCAACAGTCAGGAATACGCTCCATTTTGAGGCAGGTGTTAAAAAGCGCCGTGAGTAGCTGCGCATCCGGGTCAACCCTCTTGAGGTCACCGTAGGTAACGCCGTCAGGCCCAGGGGATGAGTTCTTCATCCTCCCAAGTCGACGACGTACCTCGGTGATCTCAAAGGGCGAGACCAGCTGGATTTGCAGCCCGACCGGTTGACACGGCTCCATGCTTTTTGAAGAATTCCGCCACTTTCGCAGCGAAAGACTCCAGCCCCTGAGCATCGGAAACCCCTTCAGACAGCTCGACGAGAACTGACCGCTCGGCGCCTATCGCTTCCCGACTGCTTCGCTGAAGCAAGCCGGGTCGTTCGGCACCAGGCGCGCGCTCGACGCTCTGCCTGTCGGGGCACTCGACCTCGGGGAGCCGTGCTCGCCGGACCGGACTGCGCCCAATCCTCCTCCCGCGGCGCTCATCAGAGGACGCAGGGGTAACTGACCCCCACCCGCGCGCCCCCGACGGTCTTCGGGCCTGGACGTTGAGGGGTTGTCTCCTATTGCCTTGTAGGGCTGGGTCGACTGCCCTTCTGGGGAATTCGAAGTCGTCCACTCTTGACGCAGGTCTACGCGTGTTATTGTTGGCATCCCCTCGGCCCCTCCTGTTCTGCCCATCCTCTATCGATCTAAAAACAGAGCCCCGGTTTGACCCGGGGGAATTAGTCGCGCTGTTGGCGGCATTACTTAATCTAGGACAAACACAACAACAATTACAATTATTATTAAAACTGATCGGGCTAGTTCCCCGATCAGTTACGTCCCTTATTATTTTTGGGAGGCCCCGCCCCTTTGTCCTAATTCCACTCACGCGTGGTGCCCGGATCAACTCCTCTTCTCCCCCTGGTCCTCGTTCTTCAATCCGTGGCTGCCTCTCCGGTGTCCTTGGTAACGGGGTCGTCAGTCCCTCCACGGTGGCTTCCTGCCGCCCAGCCATTCGCCTCGTGGACAGCGGCGTGAAGTCCCGCGATTCCTCCTCTTTCCTCTTCTCCATCTCCTCCTTAACCTCCTTCTCCTGTTCCGGCGCCGCGATGACTACTGGCGACGACTCGGCAATTACAGGCAATATCTCTCTCTTTCTTGAGCGCCCCATTCCAGGGGACGCCTGGCTGGAGTTGGCGTCCCCTTCCTCTCCCCTCCTGTTGGTCGGCGGGGGGCTACTCCTCTTCTTGTTCTCCAGCCCAGGCGGTAATGTCATCGCCCGGGCGCTCCTCCTTGTCTCGGGGCGCTCCTTCTCTGTTTGCGTGGNNNNTCTTCTTCCGTTGTTATTGGCACCCCCTCGGCCCGTCCTGTTCTGCCCATTCTCATTGTCGTTTCTAAAAACAGAGCCCCGGTGTGACCCGGGGGAATTAGTCGCACTGTTGGCGGCTTCTCTTAACCTAAGACAATCACATGTACATGAACAATTATTATTAAAACCGATAGGGCTTGTTCCCCTATCGGTTACGTCCCTGATTATTTTCGGGAGGCCCCGTCCCTTTGTCCTGACCCCACTCACGCGTGGTGCCCGGATCAAATCCTCTTCTCCTGGTGGTCCTCTCGCTTCAATCCGTGGCTGCCTTTCCGGCGTCCTCGGTAACGGGGTCGTCTGTCCCTCCACGGTGGCTTCCTGCCGTCCAGCCATTCGCCTCGTGGTCAGCGGCGTGAAGCCCCGTACTTCCTCCTCTTCCTTCTTCTTCTCCTCCTCTTCCTCCTTCTCCTGCGCCGGCGCCGCGATTACCACTGGCGACGACTCGGCAATTGCAGGCAGAATTCCCATTCTCCTTGAGCGCCCCATTACAGGGGACGCTTGGATGGTGTTGGCGTCCCCTTCTTCCTCCCCTCGGTTGGTCAGTGGGGGGCTCCTGACTTCTTGCTCCAGCCCGGGCGGTAATGTTCTTGCCCGGGCACTCCTCCTTGTTACGGGGCGCTCTTGTTCCGTTCGTGGGGTGGCCTCTTCCCTTGCCGTCACTTCTTCTGGGGGTGAGCCGCCTTTCACCCCGCGCCTGGTCCTGGGGGGGGTCCGAGGGGGCTCCGTGGCGGCTCTGGCAGCCCTCGATCTTGTGACCGGTGCAGACTCCAGAAACGAAACGTCCACTTTCTCCTTCGGTCCCCTCGGAGATGTCTTTCCTCCCCCTCCGCGCTTCGTGGTGACGGCAATTGCGGCCACCGGCCTGCTACACACCGATGTCGTCGTCAGTGTGAGGGTCCCGGCTGTCGCAAAGGTGCATGTGGTCGTCATCGACAGGGTGGGGGGCGCTGGTGGTGTGGATGCACCCCCTTTCTCCTTTTCTTCCGACACGGGCGGGAGAGACGTCGCCCGTGTCATTCTCCGTGTCGCCGTAGTGGTGGTGGCGGCCACTTGCCCTTTCGTGACCTCTGCGTACGTGACAGCCGGCGTTACCCTCCTCGCTGCCATGGTTCGTTGGGGCGGGTCAGGTTGAGGTGGTTCGGTGGAGGCCCGGGTGCTCCGCCGTGTTTTCACCGGGCTCTTCTTTTTGGCTACTGTGGGGGGAGTGAGGGATGATCTTCCACTCCCCTTTGAACCACCCATTGACACTGACCCGCCGCTTGCGGCGCCGGCCACCGTCGACGTGCCCCTGGTCCTGCCAGCTGCTTCCTTTGGTGTTGTGGTCGACGGTGTTACGGGGCTCGCCGCTGCCGAGGGTCGTCCATCTATCGGACTGGACGGCGTTCCGCTGCGCCTCGATGTCGCTGCCGTCGTCGTCGTCTTCCCCGTATTACCGACAGCCCAGCTCGTCAGTAAATTAGTTTTCCCCGTTACCGACTTCACCGTTGCCGACCTTGTCGTAGCGCTCTTCTTTACCGGTTTCTTCCCGGCAGCCACGGTACTCCGGGCGCTCGTCGCTGTCGTCGTGGTGGTACGGCGTGACGTGGTGGTCGTTTGAATCGTTGTTTGTCCTGCGGTAAGCGGGGAGGGGGCCTCCCTCGTCGTTTCGGCAATTGCCTCGTCAATTCTAGATGATCGCGACTCGGTGATATCCCCCCCGGCTGGATTTCTATTTTCATTAATTCTAAGTGATCGCGACTCGGTGATATCCCCCCCGGCTGGATTTCTATTTTCATTATTACTAATATTAATGCTAATACTTTCATCTAATTCCTTTTCGTTTTCCTTTTCTCTTTCCTTCTCTTTTTCTTTTTCTTTTCCTTTACTCTTACTACTACCCGCGATCGGTGACGGGCGCGCCCCAGAGGCACAAGGAGATGCACTGCCCGGGTGCGCGTTCGCATAATGCGCTTTCACCTTCTTGATAGCGTATGCACTATCATCAGTGAAAGAACACCTGCTACATACGAACCGACGGGTCACGCCTTGGTGTCGTAGGCGGAGGTGCTTCCCCAAATCCTCGTGCCTCTGGTACGCGCCCGCCCCCTTCTGTAATGCGGCCCCTTCCCTATAACAAAACGGACACTTGAAAATTTCTGGGAAGGGGTAAGGAACTAGAACCTCATTATTTTCTAATACACAGTCCAGCCGGGGGTTCGTCATCCTGATGTTAACACTAATTCTGAATAAATAAATAAATAAATAAATAAATAAACTCCCCTACAAACTAAGCAAATAAATAAATTAATAAGTATATAAATGTTCTAATACGCTTACGCGAGTCAAGTGTTACACTATACTACTAGTTTAATAATTAGGTATCTTAAAATTAATGACTAGATAAATAACTTACAAACTAATGACTAGAATTAACCTAATTATTAAACTAGAGTCAAAAACTAAAATAGAAACGCAACGGACGATGTACGGACGACCGTGCGAATCGTTCCGTGCGGCAATTTCGCGATGAAAACCACGAAATTACCACANNNGCAAAAACAGTGACTGGGGGACAGGGGAAGGTGAGCTGCTATCGATTTGAACTAACGTTCGCACCGATAGCAGGGACAAACAATAGGTAAACACCTACTCCGCGAGCAATACCGCGACCGCTGAAGGCGGTTCGCGGCGCTTGTTTCGAAAATCGAAACGTCCACCTGCAAACTCTAAGTTCTACTTAGCGCCTCCAGGGGCACCACTCTACAGACGCTACACTACTGCCCTCCACCGCCAGAACCAGTCACTCACCGCCAGTCTGTCGCAGTCCCTCCGCCAAGGCACTTCGCGAGTCGCACAGCCGTGCCGCACGTGGACGAACCAACGCGAACGCGGACGCGATAAAACTTTGAACGCAACACTATGACTAGAGGAGCCAGAATATTTTTGCAAGTAGATTATGTGGGCCGCGTCCTGCGGCACTGCAAGGCAGGTACGACCCGCGTCGGAGTCGGAGCAAGCCCCGGAGTCCGACCGATTGCAAAAATAAGATTAATATTCTGACTCCCCGATGGGGAGTGTATCAGATATTAAGCTGATAAGAACAGATAAATTGAAGTTTATTTAACAATGAATGTTTCCCCACAGCCGAAGCTGCAGGGTGGTACATTTTAAAGTTTCAACATATACATATTTCTTTTAAACTTATAATACATTAAGCATTTAACATTTGTCGCATACTTAAATTTAACTCGTACACACAGTTTCTTCTGAATCTTCTCATCTAGTTATTTTAGACGTTGTCTTCATCTAAGGCCAGTACCCTCTTGGGCTGGACCTTCTACAGCTTCGGTCAGTTATGAATTAAATAAAAATACAAAAAATCCTACAGGGGAAACATTTGTACATTAGTTACATGAATCTCTATTGGAGATAAATCACAGACAATAGACCACAGATATGTGATAATATTAATCTCCGCGCAATGTTGAGGAGGAGATGCAGTTACTGTCCGGTAGTGTTGACTATGCTGAGCCTCACCTTCCTTAGAATCTTTTAGAAAAAGAATTGTCAATAGATTAAGATGTATGGATCTATGTTGCTTTATTTGTCTACTCGTTGTTCTGACTCACGTTATCATTTATGTTATTATTTCTCTCAGCGTTTTCATCGTTATTATATGCACTGTTTAGTCGGTCCGTGTTAGAAGTTGAGTACTGTCGAATTCCCGAGACATGTTCAACATAGATATCCCGGGACCATCCAATGGTCTCCGCAGAACATGTTTCCCCACAGCCGAAGCTGCAGGGTGATACATATATATAATTCAACATCATCATTAACAATATTAATAGATATCACCCGCATCTTCAGTTTTCTCTTGCATGCATAATTACGTTAGCTTTACTACTTGCCTTCCTGCATTTTCCTTTTCTTCGCAGTCAGGCGCGTCAGATATAGATCAAGAGCTATGATCCTCTTGGACCCTCTCTTCCGCAGCTTCGCTCATTCATAGTAATATAAATAAAAATACAAAAAACCCTAGTGGGGAAACAATACCATATTACTACAATAGTAATGTTTGAATATATTTCTCTCTTCGCGGTTGCACGAGGAGGAGGTTGGGGCTTCCATTCAATTGATTCAAGTGAGATAACATAGAATAAAATGTGATAGAGTACAATAGAGTATAGGACTGTAACATTTACTTCATTATAATGGTGTAAGAATAGCGTAGGAATCGCTGGGCCTCGCATTCTTCCGTTTATAATACTTCCGCGTTATATAAGAACCGATCCAATATTGATTACCAGTCAAGGTCGATATTGCACTTTAAATAGTCAATTATTATTTTGTTTCACTATGAGGTTTCTAATTATTCCTTTAACTGTTTTCTAGATCTCTATTATTCCTAATATTGTTTTCTCCGTTCTCATTTTGTATTGTGTATTGCCGAATACCCGACACGTGTTCTACATAAATATCCCTTGACCATTTAATTGTTTCCGCGACCATAAGCTTGCGCATTAGCGAAGCGTATTTGGGTGAAATGCGGAGGAGATCGAGGACGAACTCGCTCCCCGGGTCCCAGGCGCCCAGTGCCCCAACGACGAACGCGTCGACAACAACTCTGTAGTCGCGCCGCTGCAAGCTATCAGCCAGAGGCCGATACTTGTCGATCTTGCGCACCCTTGCCTCCTCCACCGCCGCAAGGGTGTTCTCGAAACGTGTTCTACGTATATGTCTCGGGACCAACCGATTGTCTCTGCTAGCATCAATTTTCTCATGAGTGAGGCATATCGTGGGGAAATTCGGAGGAGATCGAGGACGAATTTTTATTTTTCAGTTAATGTTTCCCCACAGCCGAAGCTGCGGGGTGATACATCATTTTTACATCATTTTCTCATCTAATATATTAAGTTACAATCACCCCTGTATCCGGATCTTTCCTAGATACAACTTTAATTATATGTTGCATTCAGTTCTTGCCTGTATCAGTTCCAAGTCTTGTTCCAGGCGCGTTCACAATTTGTATAAGGCTTTAGCCCTCTTGGGTCTTTCCTTTCGCAGCTTCGGATTTCCAATATAATAAAAATACAAAAAAACCTAGGGGAAACAGCAAACTCATTTCAATAACATTTCCATTATAATACAGTGAGATCAAATATTAGATATTTCCAGTCATACGTAACACCTATATCATTAACATAAATTGTAAAATAAATAGACATATATCCAACAAAGATAAGTATATATATAAATGCATAGAAAGATCTCACTATTTCCACGAAGAGGAGATGCATGGGTTTGTCCAATCCTTGTAGTCCAATAGTCAATTCTATGTAGGGCCTCGCATTCTGTTTACACCTAATATTGTTTTAGTCGATATTACTCGCGTCATTATTGTTACCATTCCCGTTGCCTATTCTGTTCCTTTCACTGGACACTGAGTATTGCCGCACTCCAGACACATGTTCTACATAAATGTCGCGCGACCAACCGATTGTTTCTGCTACCATTAACTTTCTCATAAGTGAGGCATATCGCGGTGAAATTCGGAGGAGATCGAGGACGAACTCGTTCCCCGGGTCCCAGGCGCCCAGTGCGCCCACGACGAACGCGTCGACAACGACTTTGTAGCCGCGCCGCTGCAAGCTATCGGCCAAAGGCCGATACTTGGCGATCTTGAGCACTCTCGCCTCCTCTACACCCGCGAGAGTGTTCTCGAAGGGCACGGCCACATCGACGATGACGACGGACCTCGACGGCTCGTGCCTGACCACAATGTCAGGTCGCAGCGCCGAGACCTCGTCGGTGACACCCTGGACGCGTTGGTTGACCCGGAGCTCCCCTGGGAGCCGGATCGCCCGTACGAGCCTCTGGACGAGGTTGTCATGCCTCCGCTGCCTGGCGGCAGAATGGGGGCCGCAGTGTCCGAGTACGTGGGGAAGGGTTTCGGCGTCATATCCGCATCGCCGGCAACGCTTATCATCGTTCCCCCATCGACGCGCCCCATTTAAGGGGAGCACGTCGAGGCGGGCCCGATGGATGGATGGGTCAGTTTTAATGGATGTTGCTTCAATTTCATTAAGAAGCCTGCCTTCAAATTTTTATTACTGATAGTACGAAATCTCTGTGGTGTCCCATTTTGAAATTTGGAAACTGCCTCAGCTAAACTTATAAACTGATTGGAACATCGTTTATACTTCATCAGACTTTGTCTACGATATTGACAAGTAAGCACTCTAGGATACGGTTTACTCAATGAGCGTCGCTTCCCTTTAAATGTATTGAATTGTCTCTTTTGAAACGATAACATTTTGCCAGATAATCTCTCTACTGGATCATTGCTTTCAGTACATTTAGAATCACGATTGCTCTTTAAATCACTTTTATCTTTTGTCAAAGCAGTAGATTGTACATTATTTTTCTTAACATCAACACTGATTTTCTCACTATTTTTTAGGGCAGATTTAATTAGAACTTGACATTTCAAATCTGACATATGAATACCATTTTTAATTTTTTCTGGGACTGTTGTTTTAATTTTATTATCCACCATTGATTTTTTATATGTCGATGTCAGTTCAGTTGTAGATATAGTCCATACCTGATGGTTTTTATTGGGCTTTTTATCTGGTTTCAAACTTACTGATGTACTATTTAGATCCTTTTCTTCATCCATCTGCTTTTTATTGGTATGTGGTATAAAGAATGCTACATTGGTACACGTATCTTTAACTGGTTCTAAACTATCCTCGAAGTTTGTTTCAGATACTGAAACTTCTGTCACACTTTTTTTGCTGTGTGACACACTCAACTGTGGAGGCGACTGAAAATTAATAAGTGGTTTATGCACTTCATGCTCTACTTCAAAGTAATTGTCAGAGAGTACTTGTGGGCTACGGGTTAAATCTGCCCATTGTGGAGCACAACAGTTGTCCATCATATTAAAAAATTATTATTTAATTGCTTAAATAAATGAAATTACAGCAAGCTGTCGTACGGCGAATAATGTCCAAACATAATCTAAAAGAAAACGAAGAAATGAAAAACATACTGTCAAATACATGTAAAGCAGATAAAATTGTTAATGATTGCATTAATATTATATTACTACTTATACATGATGCTTACAAGTTATTTCGTAGATATTTTAAACGTTTATTTAAGAAAGAATATCTTGTTTACTCAATATTTTTCTTCTTCAGAGGCAGAAAAGCTCACGGTCGGTAAATATTTCCGTTGACGAATTCAAGTTTGAAATTTTTGAAGCATTTGCTTGATTGGTTGAAAAGTACGGAAGGCAGAACATAAAAATGAAATATCTCTATGCAATTATATGTATATATAATATGACCCCACTTCCCGATAGATTGCACTAATACGTTCTTTCCGTGTATCTCGAGTTTCGTTTGTATATATTTTATACTCTATGAAAAAGCGTATGCGCAGTTGTGATGATCATGTCACGAAAACTATATATACAGCGGACAAAAGCTTTTGCGATCCCTAATTGTTAATTGCAGTTTGTTCTTTTTATATATCTAAGCATCGAAGGAATAATCGTAAAGAATGAGGTCCAATCCTTTCTTAATTTTGTGCATAAATACATAGAAATATATTTAAATCACTTAACATATTCCTGTTCGTTTATTTTCTCCACCATGTATATAACCGGGAGGCAATACAGAAGTTGGAGAAAAGCCACCATCATAAGTAAGAATTTCCCTAGGCTGATGATACAGTTATCATCAATGTCATTGTATAATAAATAAACACAACAAATAATAATATAATGTGATTGTACAACGCTTGATAAGTGTTATTAATTTGATAAAATTAAATATGAAAGGAGTATTCAAAATATAGTTTTATTAATTCCTACTTTCTATCACCAGATGGCCATAGTGTTGTGAGATTCAAAAAATGAACTGTCCGTATTTTTTAAATATAACAACTTATTGTACTGAATTTAAATTGCATATTTATGTAAACATTCATAAACATTAACACACAGAACCAAACAAACAGTTAAAGTTCAATATAAAAGTCACTCTGCTAAAACTTCTGCTCCTCTGGATCATAGCACACCTCACTGCAAAGTGAGTTCTTTCTTTATTCCCAGAGAAAGCTAAATTTACATTGCAATAAACTTGTTCTTTGAAAATTAAGATATTTTGGAAGACTCTTCGTTTTAAAATCTTTCATTGCTCAGGTGTGAATAAGGTCGTATTAAAAAATACACCCCAATTTGCAAAACTAATGGTACAAATGTTAAAATGATAGTGTTTACAGGAATAACCACAAAATTTGCATTGTGCGAACTTCAAATAGTATGGCGCGAAATTCAAATCATATGGCGCGAAATTCAAATCGCATGGCGCGAAATTATATCGTATATTGCGAAATTTGAACAAAATGGCGGAAACTGCAAATTTATATTGCAAAATTTGAACAAAATGGCGGAAATTGCAAACTCAAATTGCGAAATTTGAACAAAATGGCGGAAACTGCAAATTTATATTGCAAAATTTGAACAAAATGGCGGAAATTGCAAACTCAAATTGCGAAATTTGAACAAAATGGCGGAAACTGCAAATTTATATTGCAAAATTTGAACAAAATGGCGGAAATTGCAAACTCAAATTGCGAAATTTGAACAAAATGGCGGAAACTGCAAATTTATATTGCAAAATTTGAACAAAATGGCGGAAATTGCAAACTCAAATTGCGAAATTTGAACAAAATGGCGGAAACTGCAAATTTATATTGCAAAATTTGAACAAAATGGCGGAAATTGCAAACTCAAATTGCGAAATTTGAACAAAATGGCGGAAACTGCAAATTTATATTGCAAAATTTGAACAAAATGGCGGAAATTGCAAACTTAAATTGCGAAATTTAATTAAAATTGCGCGAAATTTAAATCTATATTGCGAAAGTCAAATTATATGGCGCGAAATTTAAATAGTATGTCGCGAAAATCGAATTGCATAGCGTTCTGCTTTGTAATTTTTTATTAGGAGATACTTGTGAACTAAAGTCTTTATAACCTAACCCATTGCCATTTATTTTTGCAGTACATTAGAGGGACATCCTGACTAGACATATCCCTTTTTTGCCGAATATGTAACCCAATTTCTTTAGTGCCAAATTGCAGTTTGAATAATACGATATATCAGATTACAGTAGTCCCATCAATATTATAATCAATTGACAATACGAATCGATAATCGAGAATGAAAAAAATTCGTGATATTACGCAAACGTGTAAAATTTATGATTGACATGTTTTGTGTATTATATCGAAATAGTTACGGGACAATACTAAATTCTTCACAGATATGTGTTTCCTGTTGTTACAAAGACAATTATTCTAGAAAATACATTATTTGAGTTAAAACAGTGATCGTATCGTTTGTGCTTAACAACTGATAATATGCTTCTGGCCGCTTCGCTAGCCAGAAGCATATTATCAGTTGTTAAGGACAAACGATACGATCACTGTTTTAACTCAAATAATGTATTTTCTAGAATAATTGTCTTTGTAACAACAGGAAACACATATCTGTGAAGAATTTAGTATTGTCCCGTAACTATTTCGATATAATACACAAAACATGTCAATCATAAATTTTACACGTTTGCGTAATATCACGAATTTTTTTCATTCTCGATTATCGATTCGTATTGTCAATTGATTATAATATTGATGGGACTACTGTAATCTGATATATCGTATTATTCAAACTGCAATTTGGCACTAAAGAAATTGGGTTACATATTCGGCAAAAAAGGGATATGTCTAGTCAGGATGTCCCTCTAATGTACTGCAAAAATAAATGGCAATGGGTTAGGTTATAAAGACTTTAGTTCACAAGTATCTCCTAATAAAAAATTACAAAGCAGAACGCTATGCAATTCGATTTTCGCGACATACTATTTAAATTTCGCGCCATATAATTTGACTTTCGCAATATAGATTTAAATTTCGCGCAATTTTAATTAAATTTCGCAATTTAAGTTTGCAATTTCCGCCATTTTGTTCGAATTTTGCAATTTAAGTTTGCAATTTCCGCCATTTTGTTCAAATTTCGCAATTTGAGTTTGCAATTTCCGCCATTTTGTTCAAATTTTGCAATATAAATTTGCAGTTTCCGCCATTTTGTTCAAATTTCGCAATATACGATATAATTTCGCGCCATGCGATTTGAATTTCGCGCCATATGATTTGAATTTCGCGCCATACTATTTGAAGTTCGCACAATGCAAATTTTGTGGTTATTCCTGTAAACACTATCATTTTAACATTTGTACCATTAGTTTTGCAAATTGGGGTGTATTTTTTAATACGACCTTATTCACACCTGAGCAATGAAAGATTTTAAAACGAAGAGTCTTCCAAAATATCTTAATTTTCAAAGAACAAGTTTATTGCAATGTAAATTTAGCTTTCTCTGGGAATAAAGAAAGAACTCACTTTGCAGTGAGGTGTGCTATGATCCAGAGGAGCAGAAGTTTTAGCAGAGTGACTTTTATATTGAACTTTAACTGTTTGTTTGGTTCTGTGTGTTAATGTTTATGAATGTTTACATAAATATGCAATTTAAATTCAGTACAATAAGTTGTTATATTTAAAAAATACGGACAGTTCATTTTTTGAATCTCACAACACTATGGCCATCTGGTGATAGAAAGTAGGAATTAATAAAACTATATTTTGAATACTCCTTTCATATTTAATTTTATCAAATTAATAACACTTATCAAGCGTTGTACAATCACATTATATTATTATTTGTTGTGTTTATTTATTATACAATGACATTGATGATAACTGTATCATCAGCCTAGGGAAATTCTTACTTATGATGGTGGCTTTTCTCCAACTTCTGTATTGCCTCCCGGTTATATACATGGTGGAGAAAATAAACGAACAGGAATATGTTAAGTGATTTAAATATATTTCTATGTATTTATGCACAAAATTAAGAAAGGATTGGACCTCATTCTTTACGATTATTCCTTCGATGCTTAGATATATAAAAAGAACAAACTGCAATTAACAATTAGGGATCGCAAAAGCTTTTGTCCGCTGTATATATAGTTTTCGTGACATGATCATCACAACTGCGCATACGCTTTTTCATAGAGTATAAAATATATACAAACGAAACTCGAGATACACGGAAAGAACGTATTAGTGCAATCTATCGGGAAGTGGGGTCATATTATATATACATATAATTGCATAGAGATATTTCATTTTTATGTTCTGCCTTCCGTACTTTTCAACCAATCAAGCAAATGCTTCAAAAATTTCAAACTTGAATTCGTCAACGGAAATATTTACCGACCGTGAGCTTTTCTGCCTCTGAAGAAGAAAAATATTGAGTAAACAAGATATTCTTTCTTAAATAAACGTTTAAAATATCTACGAAATAACTTGTAAGCATCATGTATAAGTAGTAATATAATATTAATGCAATCATTAACAATTTTATCTGCTTTACATGTATTTGACAGTATGTTTTTCATTTCTTCGTTTTCTTTTAGATTATGTTTGGACATTATTCGCCGTACGACAGCTTGCTGTAATTTCATTTATTTAAGCAATTAAATAATAATTTTTTAATATGATGGACAACTGTTGTGCTCCACAATGGGCAGATTTAACCCGTAGCCCACAAGTACTCTCTGACAATTACTTTGAAGTAGAGCATGAAGTGCATAAACCACTTATTAATTTTCAGTCGCCTCCACAGTTGAGTGTGTCACACAGCAAAAAAAGTGTGACAGAAGTTTCAGTATCTGAAACAAACTTCGAGGATAGTTTAGAACCAGTTAAAGATACGTGTACCAATGTAGCATTCTTTATACCACATACCAATAAAAAGCAGATGGATGAAGAAAAGGATCTAAATAGTACATCAGTAAGTTTGAAACCAGATAAAAAGCCCAATAAAAACCATCAGGTATGGACTATATCTACAACTGAACTGACATCGACATATAAAAAATCAATGGTGGATAATAAAATTAAAACAACAGTCCCAGAAAAAATTAAAAATGGTATTCATATGTCAGATTTGAAATGTCAAGTTCTAATTAAATCTGCCCTAAAAAATAGTGAGAAAATCAGTGTTGATGTTAAGAAAAATAATGTACAATCTACTGCTTTGACAAAAGATAAAAGTGATTTAAAGAGCAATCGTGATTCTAAATGTACTGAAAGCAATGATCCAGTAGAGAGATTATCTGGCAAAATGTTATCGTTTCAAAAGAGACAATTCAATACATTTAAAGGGAAGCGACGCTCATTGAGTAAACCGTATCCTAGAGTGCTTACTTGTCAATATCGTAGACAAAGTCTGATGAAGTATAAACGATGTTCCAATCAGTTTATAAGTTTAGCTGAGGCAGTTTCCAAATTTCAAAATGGGACACCACAGAGATTTCGTACTATCAGTAATAAAAATTTGAAGGCAGGCTTCTTAATGAAATTGAAGCAACATCCATTAAAACTGACCCATCCAATTTCTCCACCATTGAGAAGTAAGAGAAGAGCAAGAGCGCCCACTATTTTAAATCAACAAGAGCGCGAGAACTTAGAGTTGGAAGAGATGAAAAAGCATCAGATCAAAGCAAATCCTGTCCCAGTTAATATTTTGAAAGCTCCTTGTGTACTGAAAAAGGTTGCAAAAAAGCCGCCTACTGTTACAGAAGAATTTCGTTTAACGCAGAACAGGAAAACGCGACATACCATAGGGTCACATTTGAACTCACAATCTGCTACTCATAATAAGGAAAATAATTGCAAAAATTCTGCACCAATTACTCGTTCTACTAGCGCTACAAATGTTGCTGTTAAGAAAGATAATGCTTGTACTGGGGCTTCTAGCAAGGATGTAAAGCATGCTACAAACACTTTACCAAGCAGTTTTATAACACGCAATAAACAGTATGAAATGAAGAAGGAAGAGAAATTAAAGAATTTGCATGTTCAAGAGACTAACAAAATTAAGACCGAATTTCATGCAAGGCCTGCCCCCAAATTTACAAAAATAACAAATACAGTTAAAGAACAGAGTGAAAAGAAACGAATAGTTCCATGTCCGTTTAGTTTTGCGGAGAGAGATAAATCACTTGCTAAAAAGAAAGAAGAACTTGTTAAAAATATGCAGGGACAAAACAAAGAAATTCCTGCGTTTCATGCCAATCCTGCACCGATTTTTAAACCTGTACTGGTACATGGTTTGTCTAAAGAAAATATTCAGGGCAAGGAAAAAGGTACAAGCAATTTAAAAAAACTGATAACCAAGCAAACTAAAAGTTGCGTTGATCAGGAAAACAAACAACCTAATGTAATTACTACTACTACTTCTGTTAACGCAAAAAAAAAAGATGTAAAACAATATGTTCATGAATCTGATAAAAAACAAGCTATAAACACTATAAAACGAAGCAGTGCTGTACATGTTAAAAATGAAAAGCCAAAAATTATTCAAAGAACGAAGTTTGAATTAAATACCGATAAAAGAGCAAAAGAACGAAATGAGTTTGACGAGAAATTGAAGAAAAAGGAGCAGGAACTAAAAGCGAAGAAAGAAGAGGAAGAAAAGAGCAAATTATTGAAAGAAAAAATGGAACGGGCCGAACTACGCAAAATGACGGAAATAAAAGCCAAACCAATGCCAGTATATAAGCCCTTAAACATTTTAAAATCAACTAAACTTCCAGTCAGTCCACGAGGTCCTGCGTGTGCAAATAGAAACAAACTAAGGAGTGTTTCTTAATTTTAAGTATTTTTTGAGTTAATTTCAAGTACTTGGTAATTGCATTAATTATATGTAGCTATTTAGTGAAACAAATATGATACTATGTCAATTATATCACAGAAATATAGTAAATACTTTAACATTCACATATATTATTACAATAAACTCATTTTTATAGAGAATGGTGCAATTTGAGTTTTGATTAACAATATATTTTTATCTTATCTATGTTTAATCAAATCAAACAGTACTGTACTAAAGAATATTTAAAAAAAAAAACATTCACTCTTCTATAACACAGATTATAGCGTGGGTGTTTACAGATTTAAAATAATTTCACTTATTCTTTCTCTTTTCTATTTAATTGACTATATCTATTGAAATCACTTGTATATGATACAGATTGTTTTAATAAAACTTGTTTTATGAAAAAACAATCTATATTCATTTAGCTAAGTAAGTATTTAAAGATTTATTATGTCTTTGAAAATGGTTTGCACAGCTAAACACGAGGTAAATAAAGTCATTATACTTATTATCTGTCCTTGTTTACTTTTAAATATGGGTACTACTGACAAGACGGTAATGGTTGCTTCAGTTTTTTTATATCACATAAAATATACAGGGGGTTCAAAAAGTTGATGTCAAATGTAGTACTCATCAAAACGAGGAAGGCTTAATAAACATAGGTCCAAATGTCAATAGTTCCAGACTACGTACTATTAGTACTGTTTGCTTTACTTAATCTAATGACTTTTTAATACGATTTAGATAGTCTTATTCGGTTACAGACTTAGAGTTAATGACATCTGGCAACTTTAAAACTAATGATATTTGGATACCATATTCGCTCAGACTTCATTTTCTTTTGGCAAGTACTACATACTCCTGATGTTTAATTCCAACATTTTTGTACACCCCGTGTAAAAAATTTGTATACCAAGAATATTATATAGCTTCAACAACATAGTTTAATTTATTTCGAATGTACAAAGAGCACACTATCATACATCTACTTTCTTTACTTCGTATCAGTCCGGGAATAAAAGTATCAGTTCTGGAGACAATTTAGGTGTAAAATGTTATATTAAAAATGTTGAACACTGAATCTGGCAATACGATTAGTAAGAATTTTATATAAATATTAGGCTCCAGCAAAATTGTATGCGTTTCATTCAGTATACAAATTCTGATATTAATTTATCGCAGATACAATGAATACCATTATAAAATTAAAAACGTTTATCAAATTTAGTTGGTTCGCCTCGTCGATAGTAAAAAAATGAAGATCGTAGATCGGTTGCTTCCATTCGAAATCTAGTTTTAACTATAACATATTTCTCGTAGAAGTTATAAATATCTTGTATCTTTAGAAATATATTTATAAATTATTCGATGTAACACAAATTACACTCATCGACATACGCATGTCGTCGCTAACTCGTACATCATAAAATATCAATTTCTATTTCGTGTTGATACTTTAGTGTAATATCTTGAGCTTCCGCTAACAATCGCCTTTCTTTCAAATAAAAACTGAAATAACATAAAAGGTATTGCCTCGTAAAAGACATTGGAAAACCATCCGTATATTTATGACATACGAGTGAGCTTTTTACTTCAAATAATGTACAAATTATAAATCGACTCCATAACTGCTCACGAATTGATGAAAACCTCGCTGCTAAAATGCATTTAGAAGATTATTCTCTCCTCTTTTTTATCAAAAAATGCAAAGTGGTTAGTGTCGAATATATTGTCGTTGAATACAAAGCAACGACTTCCTTTTACAGCAGTTTAGGTGCCGTATATTAGGCAAATATGAGTTCCCAAAAAGCCGTTTACGAGTGACCATTTTAGGACATCATACTTGTTTAGTATTGTACATAAAAATCAATTAAAATCATGTAAAGTCGCGTAACGATACTATGCACGTTTCATTCGTATAAATTATATTCAATGTATTAAGTAATATTTATGTCGAGGCAACATCGGCACACGGGTTTTGCAGAATAGAAGAAAATGGCAGACTCATTGTACAGATCCCAAGAAATCGTCCCGTCAAAGCTCCTTCAATAGAGCAGACTTTGCATTTTTAAGTTTGTCTAATCTCCTTTGCAAATGAGAATTCGCTGTTTCTAATTCTTCTACACGGCCCTGTGTTTCTCTGACCTATCAAAATGAAATATTTTATAACACACTCTGAAATATTATCCAAACAGAGAAATCTGAGAGCTAACGATAGAAATATTGGTTCTTACTTCTCTTTGTAATTTTCTCTTTTCAACTTTTAATTCGTCTTCTGCTTTTTCAGAGGCTTCTGCCGCTGACTTGTAACGTATCACTTGACTTTCTAGCCTGGCTACCGTGGCTTGTAAAGTAGACATATCTTGCTCTGCTTTTTGTAACTTGAACTTGTAATCAGCCAGAAGTTTATTAGCTTCTCGTTGCACGTCTTCAGAATCTGATAAACAACCTGTTGAAAATAAAACATAATAATTAAATGAAAAGAAGTCAATTTCATCTTTGCTTGAAAGAATACTTGTGCTGCATAAATATGAACCTAATACTGAACCGGGCGATTTTTCGGACCTAATACGATTTCGTGTCTCCTCTAATTCCAATCTTAAATGCCGTATCTCATCTTGCAATTCTTTCTTTTCAGAAGCAAATTTCCGCAGCCGTACGTCTGTAATTGAAAAGATGAGTTTGTTATTTTTTCTAAAAAGGAAACGAACAGACTTCTTATAATTACGTACCTAACGAACCCTTTCCAGCATTTTGCAATAATTCTGCTGCTTCTGTACTGACTAGTACTCTTCGTCTTGGACGTGGTCCGTTTTCAATATCATTATCTTCATTTTCACTTTCTTCATCATCAATAATAACTAAACCATTTTCCTGAAGTAATGTTATTTTTTAGTATTAATATATCGAAGTAACTACGTGATACCGTTCGTATTTGATGTGTGCTTACTTGTATAAGCGTATCTCTTTCTACTAATTGTGCATGACATATATCTAATTCGTCTTTCAATCTTTGACTGACTCTCTTCAATTGTTCAGATTCCCGATTTTTCTCCCTTAGTTCTCTGCGAAGTTGTGCCACTGTTTCTTCTAATTCCTCTAATTTATCTTTTAGTAGATCAACTTGATAAGCATAAGAAGACTTTTCATTGTCTAACTGAGCATTCGCTATCATTGCTTTTCTAAACTTCTCCTCAAATTCCTTCAACTCTAACTACAAAGAAAATATGAACAAACATTTCCATATTTTTATATAAATGTTAGTTCTCTTAACTTGTTAGTGCCCAGACGCAATTTTATTGTGCACGAAACTTCATGCGCATGAATTACGTCGAGTCACTAATAAGCAATAACATCAAATAAGAAATAATACCCTGAGATCTCTGCTTAGGCCAGCGTCTTCCAAGGAATCTTCAGAGGATCTACGACTGGATTGAAAATTATTAGAATTTGTAAGGAGGCGCGACGTCCTCACAGAATCAGGAGTCACTCTCATCGTTCTATTCACGTCGGCTAAAAAATTAAAATGCAGAATACTTTGTTGTTAAGACATTTCTATAAGTGCATTATCAATACCAAAATAATATACCTGCACACATATCATAAACCCTATCTGCATTCTCCTCCGCTTCTTTCTGTTGTCTCTCTAATTCGCGCATTCGTATTTCTCTTGCTTCCGCCCTTGCTTGTCTTCTAGCAGCTAATCTAGCTTCTGCCTGAAAGTACGTATGGAAAATCCATCCTGTTACCAAAAACATATTTTGACATTCAATTTATTATTAACACATTGACGCATGATATATAAACACTCTTATAAATGCATTAACAAATCAAATCTGTTAAGATTCTCATGAAAACAATGTATGTATGCATAAGATTCAACGATACTTTACATTAACAAATACTTACTTTATGTTGTTTAGTTGGAATTAAAAGGTAAAATATCAGTTGCAACGATAATCATGTCATGTAGTATGTACAATGCATCGAATTCTTATTTAAAGATAAACTTATCATGAAAGATATGAATCCCCACCTAACATACCACGCATACATGTAAGCAACCAAGGTCAAGCACACATATAGCAACATTTATTTGTTTTCTTTTCCTATTAGAACAAAATGCAATATCAAGCAATAAACATTTGTACATTTAACACAAAATTGATTATTCTTTAGTGGCTAAAAATAACAAATCACTTTCTTTAACAATTCTGTGTCATGTAGTTATAAAATGACCAAGCCATACCTCCTTAGCAATCTGATCGAGAGCCTGATCCTCTGCCGAATGTCGTGCCGTTGTCCGTCTGCGTCCAGTTATAGCAGACTCCATGTCTTATTCAGCTTTTTAACGCACGTTTCTCTCTCGAATATCAGCAACAGCTAGGCAGATCCACGTCCCTCACCGTACAAGAAGACAAACCACCACACTAAAGGACAAAGGGGATATTTGCTAGAGCTAGAACTTTGCGAGCATATCTTTAAGCTGTTAATATGGTACCATGAATAAATGAATATATTATATGAGTCAGTAAATGATGTTTATAGTGTATAAAGCTTTAGGAACATGGCAAGGTATAAACATAAAAGCATCGTTGGAAACATGAATACAGATACTAAACTTCTGTTACAAAAAGCACTTTAAGTGCAATAGGGGACGCTGATAACACGTTATGCAATAGAGATAGAGTCACATTTGAATATTTTAACTTCAACAAAAAGTTTAATCTTTTGTTTTCATAATGAGAATTAACAATAATTTGCATAATTTTGAAAAGGTGTAAGGTTGAAGGACTCTAAAAGTAAGCTAAGAAGTTTCATACTTTTCTAGCACTTATAGGTTGACAATACCCGGCGACACGTGAAAGCGTTATTGAAATAGAAGAGTAAAAGAATTTAGCACAGGTAAAAACGGTCTCCGAAGTTCTAACGTTACAACGTTTTCACGCTAAGAATAACATCTCCGTGGTGTAGTCTAATTATGTGTTTGCTCCGTGTACCATAACGCGTCAACGATTTCCACGGAATAACGCGTTTACTCACGAGACAACACGAATATATGCGAATTTAGAATACAAGAGAAATAAAAGGTACCAGAGTCGTACGTTCGATGATATATATTTAATAGACTCGCACACCCACACATTACAGCCGAATACATGCAAATAAGACCTTACTGTATCATCAATTTTTTTTCTTTTAGTTTTCCCACCGTTAAAAGACTTACGATGTAAGAACGCTGTCAGCCAGCGGATAGGTGCATTTTCTCAAAGGAACCGCATGCAAAAATAAACTGGAGAGACACTATAAATACAATCAATGGAAATCGGATGAGTAGTTCGCCACGATGACCATCTGCGGCGGAGAATTAACGATGCGGTTTCCGTTTAGTCGATCACGGGTCCATGGAATTTCTCGATATAACGAAAAACGTTCGCGCGACACGATCAACGTGATTCCCTAGAGACAAAAGCTTGGAAAAACAGTGCGTGTAGTCGCACTTAAATATAGCGGAAGACACATTTTTCGATGAAATAGCCAGGACGGTGATGCATGCGAATGCAAAAATACACTGTGCGCCGCCGCGCCTCAAATAACCGAAATTGGTGGAGTCATCTGTGGACTAGGCACGCAACACTGTCGGAAATCGCATCGGCAATACGATCTTTTGCAAAACGTATCCACCTACAAAGATTTTCGTACATGTACTTTTGATGCCATTAATTTATCAGTCTAAACGTTGTTCGGTCTTTCCTTCAGTTGCTATGTTATTGTTACCTTGCCCTGCTTCGAGTAGTGTGCACGATAATTTTGATCTTGTTTCTTATGCGAATGCGTGTGCGCATAGAATGTACGCGTATTTGCATAATCAAATTTAAATGTCATTAAAAAGTTAAGAAGTATATTGACGTCTATTACCATATCAAACATAATTTGGAATGAGGTAGCGCGCCAAAGAAATCATACACGGGAGAATTTGAATAATCAAGATGACATTTCATCGATTGGAAAATTCAGTCGATAATAGTAGAGATTGGTTCTAATTTGGCGATACATTGTCGCAGTTTTAAAACGAATCTTTACTTCGATGCAACAGATACGCACACACACATTTGCAGTTGGCCGCGTCCGATACGCACGGCCTAAGTTCTCGAACGTAACCTCACCGAAACTTGCGATGTGGCATTTGACTTCTCAACATATTTTGATCTGCATTTTAGAAAATTAATATTCTCAAATCAAAACGATGGCTGTGGTATAGATTTTGAACAGCGAACGTACCCGATTCGAAAATATAAATTTCTCGATGGACATGGTTGTATATACATAGTGAATAAGAAAAAATGAGAGTGTCAGTACTGTTAGTCTTTCGACTTTTGTATTTTTTGGATATAAACAAATTTACAAATGCCTGGGACAATGAGGAGTTGGAAGTATTCGACGTTGTCGAAGAAGTTAATCAAAATTTTTATGAGGTTCTTGGTGTTCCACAGGTATGTTTCACTCGTTAATTTTATTCTTTTCACTTAGAATTGATTGATAATCTAACGTGTATCAATGAAATTTTTCAGGCAGCAAATGCCTCAGATATCAAGAAAGCTTTCAGACGATTGTCACTGCAATTGCATCCAGATAAGAACCCTGCAGAGGATGCAGAGCAACAATTTAGAAAAGTATGACTTAACATTGTACAGTTTTGAGTAATTCTCATTATGCATTCAAATATAAATGGTCTTTATTTTTAGCTGGTTGCTGTGTATGATGTATTGAAAGATCCTGGAAAACGTCAGAAATATGATAATGTTCTTGTTAATGGATTGCCAAATTGGCGGTCTGCTGTATATTACTACAGACATGTGCGAAAAATGGGACTTCTAGAATTAAGTATAATTTTATTTTTAATTATTACAGTTGGACAATATGTGGTAGCATGGGGTGCATACTTTGAGAAAAGATATACATATGTATGTAAAAAATCATTAAAAATTAGAAAGAGGCATTGAACATTTTATATTACCATGATTATACATGTTTCAGGAACAAGTATTAGGTAGTAAACTGCAGAAAATGCAGAAGAAAAATAAAAAAGGTAAAATGGATGTGCCAGATTTAGCAGATATTTTGGAGAAAATTCCTACACCAACTATTTGGAATACTCTTCCATTTCAATTTCCAAGGTGGATAATAGCTGTTACATTATCCATTCCTGATGTTGTACGTATGATGTATAGTGTTTTGGAAGAAAGGAAACGTAGGAAGAAACAGGAAGAAGAAGAAGCATCGTGAGTAAAATAACATATGACTGTGATATCAAATAGATTTTATTGTTGAGTATGTTCAGAATTCTTATCTACCCTGTTTTAGAGCACAAGAAACTGAACAATTACCACCTGAACCTGTATCTCGGGCGCGGAGACGTAGACCTGGTTTTACTCCTCAGGAAAGAAGCGGCAATAATATTAAAGAAGTATCGAAGAAAGACCAAACAATTCATGTTTACCAAAAACCTGCAGTGTTTGGCGGCTTATGGACCGACGATGATATCTTAGAATTAATTAAACTTGTAAAAAAATACCCTAGTGGTACTCCAGAAAGATGGGATAAGATTGCAGATGCAATGAACCGTACAGTTGCAGAAGTTACTCATATGGCAAAAAAGGTTTATAGAGTATTTAATATTTATCAAGTCTGGTAAAGAATGGGCCTATGAATGTTACCATTTTTTCAGATAAAAGATGAAGGGTTGAAACCCGGTGTATCTACAGAGGAAACTGTAGTGGAAGAACGTCCGAAAAAAACAAAGACACGCGCCGAGAATGTGGATAACATGAGCGAGTGGAGTCAAGAACAGCAAAGAGCGCTTGAAGCAGCTCTTACAAAATATCCCAAAGGTGCATCTGTCGATCGATGGGAAAAGATTGCAAATTGTGTTGAAGGGAAAACAAAGGTACGATTTAAATACCCTGTAACGCATGTTTGTTCAGATAACAGTATTTACAGTTTGTGATACATTTTAAAGGATGAGTGCCAAGCAAGGTACAGACAGTTGGTGGAGTTGATAAAAAAGAAGCAAGATGTTCAATAGCCTGCCATGTACAAGATTGTTCCTTCGACAAAACGTGTAGTCCATACAATCAAGTCCAAAAAATGTATTCGATCTTATAAAGATACATATTTCACGGCTGTTGTACATTTATAATACGGATGAATTACAGATGTCCGAAAGATTCTCTTACATAGAGACGAAGATTAAATATGATGCATTAAGAACGATAAAAGAGAACTTTATACGCGAGAAGGAATATTGCTCCTACATCATTTTATTATTAAATGTTTGTGGAGAATGTATTTATTTAATAAATTTAATAATTAATTAAGAGGAAAAGACTGATAAAATGTAATAATTAAATACTTTCCTGCTCTTTGAGACTGATACTCTGCTTTTATTAATATTATTTATCCGATAAAATATGTACTTTAGTTTCTGAAATTGTAAAAAGTACTGTAAACGAACATTACATAAAATTTTGCTCTAACTACTAACATATTTCGTACGTAAATAATACAAATGCTCATACAATTAATTATGTCAAAATAATTGATGTTAGATTTTAATAATACGTTATTGTACTTGTTGATATCATTGCATACCTCATCGCAAACGAAAATTCCGTCTAATATATTTTTAGAATTCGTTGAATTATTCGATTAAACATAATACTTTCAAATAAAACAGTGGTTCTTATTCTTGCATTATTAATATACGTATTTCAAAGGCAATACATTTGCATTTATGTCGCTAATGAACACGATTACTGCCCAAAGATTATTCTATATACAGGTATATGAAACGTAATAATTTATCTTAACTAAATAAGGAATCGTAAATGTGTGTAGAGTAATACATTGATTGACATGCTAAATGTCAAAAGAATGTTCTGTGCAATTTGAACTATGCGTTAAAATTAAGTATATTATTTAAAAAATTTATATGTTACAAAAATACTACGTCTATAATCTCTAAGTTCTTTTTTTGCTTTTAACGAATCTGCAGTAAATCACAACTTAACTATGAACTATTTATTCGTACTAGTTCATAAATAATGCGAAATTCTGTACAAAATTATTTACAGATTGTATAATAAACTTCTTAATTACGTCTTCTACGAACTCTTGATATTCGCCAAGCATTTGGCTCTTCATATTTGTTATAAAGTGGCTCGAGTCGTTGATTCTTCTTGAACTTACTGAGTTTAGTTGGGTCACTAAACTTGAAGAACGCAGGAGCAAATTCTACTAACCATTTTGGATCAATGGTTGTCACCTCCCTCATGTATTCTTTTGTTGTTTGTACTAATTCATGATAAATAACCTACGATAGATAAAAAGAGAATTTATTTATGTTTCTTTCTTTATGTTCATATCTATAATATTTAACTTACCCATTCAGGTTGTCTGTTAAATAATGCACTACTTGGATGAATATAGACAACCTGGCTATCCACTAGAGTCCTGTAACCTTCCTGTGGATCTTTCTTTGCAGCATTTCTAAAGAAACCCGAGCATACAGCTTTCTGAATTCTCACTGTATTTTTACCAGCAGATACTACATCTAATTTGTGCCTGATAAGTGAAATACAATTATTGTAACCCGGATTATAATAGAATACATTCATAGCTTACAATTACATATATCATAATAATTACCTGTCCATTATACCTAAGAGCTGTTTACGAACATCTTGGGCACGTTTTAACGTTCTGATTTGCACAAAATTTTCGTAGCACCATGCATTGCTAAATTTATTATTCCTCCAGGAATTATAAACTGCGAGCAAAGTCAAGTGATCACCTTCAGGTTGATTGAACTTCGCTTTCTTTTGATCTGCTAATGCTTGTTTATCTTTTGGCCTGAAAATGCAATAATTAAGTACACCTTATGGATTAGTGAAAAGATACTTTTATGTAAAATGACTTCCTTACCTATAAAAAACATTCTGAACGGATAACATGCTGACTATGGTCAGTATTTCATCAGAACATTGAAGGTGCACACTCATAATCAGCATTTTCGATAAATTGGGTTCCAAAGGAAATTCCGCCATTCGTCTTCCTAATCTTGTTAAAAGACCTTCGTTGTCTAATGCACTTAAACTATGCAAAGATTCCAAAGCCATAATTAACGATTCAACAGGCGGGGCGTCCATAAAATCAAAATGCAGGAGATCGTTGATGCCCATTGTTTTCAGCTGTAATACAGTAGTTGCTAAATTGGTACGCTGAATTTCTGGAACTGGTGTTGGCAACATTTCATCTCTGAAGAAGAAAATATACATATGTACGTTTATAATTTACCTATTTCATTACGTTTAGCAATAAGTACCTGTAAGCCCTTTCAGTATAAAGCCTGTAGCATTTTCCTGGGCCAGTTCTACCAGCTCTGCCTGCTCTCTGCTTTGCTGCAGCCTGACTTATCGGTGTCACTATTAAACTGTCCATTCCTGTCTTTGAGTTATATACTTTTTGTTTGACGAAACCTGGATCGACCACGTAATAGATTCCATCTATGGTCAAACTCGTTTCCGCTATGTTCGTAGCTATGACAACTTTTCTCGAACCAGGAGGAGCTGGTTCAAATATTCTGGTTTGCATTTCTGAAGGAAGTGCAGAGTATACTGGCAAGATGATCAATTCAGGCACATCAGGGCCCAAAGACTTCATACGTTCGTACAAAATTTCGCAAGCTGTGTCGATTTCCTCTTGACCAGTCAAAAACAGCAATATATCTCCTGGCGGTTCTCGTAAATGTATTTGCATTACTGTAATTAGTGCAGCGTCTAGATAATCCGTTTCAGGTTCTTTCGTGTACATTACTTCAACTTCGAACGTCCTTCCAGGAATAGTAAAAATAGGCGCTTCGAAAAAGTATTGCGAAAATTTGACAGCGTCTAAAGTAGCACTTGTTACGATTAATTTCAGATCTGGTCGTCTTCCGACAGCTTGTTTTAGCAATCCAAAAAGAACATCCGTATGAATGGTACGTTCGTGTGCCTCGTCCAACATTATCACGGAGTACGTCTTTAAATCTAAATCCATGAGACATTCTCGAAGCAACATACCGTCAGTCATGTATCTAAAAAATTAAATATTGGTATTAATATTTAATATAAATTACATTGCAAAATAAGTTACGTACTTTATATTAGTCTCTGGTCCAGTACAGTCTTCAAAACGTATCGTGTAGCCTACTTCCTGTCCTAAACGACAACCAAATTCTTCTGCTACCCTTTTGGCAACAGACATAGCAGCCACTCTTCTGGGTTGCGTGCATCCAATCTTTCCACGAGCTGTGAATCCTGCTTCAGCTAGATACTGCGTAATCTGTGTTGTTTTTCCTGATCCTGTTTCTCCAATTACGATTAAGATCTGATTGTCTGTCACAGCTTTCACTAAATCGTCTCTCAATTTGTAGATTGGTAAGCTTTGTCGTTGCTCAAGGAGAGTCAAATTAGTTTTCTTTCCAAAGGATGATTTCTTTCCGCCTATTACGTGCTTTTTCCATTCGGGTAGATCTTGAGTTTGAAGACCAATTCCCCGCATGTTCGCTGCCAGTGTCCTGCTTTCAGCTGCAAGCAAGCATAACGATTATCCGCTCCGAATATCACAAGGAATACAGTAAATTGTAAAATAGTAAAAAACATTTATTACCTTCCGGTAAAGGATCAATCCAATTTTTGTTGAGGCCAGTAGGAACAGAATCCATTTCTTGCTCTCTTTGTAACATTTTCTGTTCCCTCCTTTCTTTTGCAAGTGCACTTTGCATCATAGCAGCTTGAGCCAAAGAACCATCAGGATTCTTGACTATACGAACGGGACTTAAGTCTCCAAGTGCTCTTCCGTGACCGTGTAAGAACGGTGGTTCTTCCTCTACTAACTCAATCTCTACGTCTTCTTCTTCATCATCTTCACGAGGAAGAATTCCAGTTTCCATGTCAAATTCTGGCAGTTCGCTTCTACATTTTTCAAAAAGAAATTACTTAATAAAGTCAGCATATTATAAAAATAAATATTTTGTCATTTTTAATAGTGATAATACCTATCGATACAGGACGCGGCAAGCATTTGTTTGATCTCCCACTTTTCCGGAGACGACAACCTTTGTACCCGTTTTCTGGAATACGTTTCATCCTCATCCCAATTACCTTGAAGTTCCAACAATGACGTGGGTCTGTCAGGATTTCGTAAATGCTTTTCATCTTCTTCTGGTTTAGGTACAGCTACAACAGGATTTAGATCTCTGCCTGTTTCCTGGTCAACATCCTTCATACTTAAAGAAACCTACAAAGATTTATTGTTAATTAATCAAGTTAAAAATGATTACTACTTGTTTTCATTTCTTTATACCTTTTGTCCACCAATATTGAGAACCTTTACTAGAACTTTTTGTCCCCTTGAAACAACGTCGCTTGCATTTGCAACTCGTCCTTCTCTTCTTAATTGTGAAATGTGTACTAGCCCTTCCCATCTACGTTTGAGGCCTTCTAACTGAACAAAGCAGCCAAACGGTACGATATTCGCAACCTTCCCAGAGTAAATTTTGCCCACTTCTGGGTCCATTGAAATTTCTTCTATGGACCGCGATCTAGATCTATCAGACCCATGTCTGCCGAAATGTTTATCTCTATGATCACGAGATTTTCTATCCCTTGATCTTGATATCCTACGATCTCTTGATCTACGACGTCGTCTGTCCCTAGACCTTGAACGATCTCGCGATCTTGAACGAGATCTAGACCTGTGCCTTTTGTCTTTACGATTAGACGAACGGGATCTGTGTCTTCTTCTTTCTTTTGACCTACTCCTTCTAGAATGTTTGCTTTTTTTATCATTATTTTCTGTTGGTGGATTATCCTTTTTGTTATCGGTAGACTTTTTTGATGGAGCCAATTCTTCTAAACTTGCCATGGCACTGCTGACTATATCATCATCTTTAAGCTCGTTGTTTTCCACCGGTGGTGGTTCTTCATTTGGCATAGCCAGAGCAGGAAACTTTTGTGCCAGCTCATCTTGCTTTGATGTAGATTTTAAAATCTTCTCCTGAGCTTGCTTAGAAGGCTTCATATGTTGTATTATTCTCAACAAATTAGCCATGAAGGATTCCTAAGGAAGTAATAGAAAAATATAATATGTATCGGAAAGGTGAATGCATGGAACTCAATGAATTACTTACTGAAAATTCAGCACCATTTTCAATCAGCACCTTCTTGAACTTATCAAAGGTATTATTCTTCTCTGCCAAGTGAATTATGAATTCAGCTATAAAACAAATAATTAGTTACCAAAACGAGGAATGGAACATAACCTCAGTAAACAGAAGCTAATGGATAGGTTATACATACATTAACATTGATTACGTTAAACAACTTACCCAAATCTTTGTCGTTCAATCCTAAATGATTCTCCAACTCTGTACAAATTTTTGAAACCAGTGACAAGTGTTCTAGCTTTGCAACCTCATCCATTTTTACAGTTTTTGTGAAATAACTATAGAAACACGGTTTTTATAGTAGTGTATGCATTGACTAAAATGTAGTCTTTGATGGATATATAATTAACAAATCTAAATTAATACATACATTAAATTAATATTCACTTTAGCAGCTAATATTTTATTTGTATATATACGTACGGATGATTTATTACATCATGTCTTCATCATGCTGTATGCAATGAATATTTCAAAATTCAATACCAGTCATACATATTATCAAAAACAGCATGAATTCTTGAAGTTTATGCACTTTACTGCAAACGAAATACACATGTATAGGTATAGGCACAAACAAGGTATAAGATAAACCATTGATGTGATGCATTTTTATGTTGCACGACTTGAGATTATCATTTTTGTATCATATCCTGCTTTATCGATTGATGGTGGTCTTAAAAAATGACACCATTAGTGCCATCTAGTGAAGTTGAAACATATCGAATTGAATCGCAAAAGAATTGAATGTTCTTGTATGTTTATTTGTAAAGTTCTTTATGTATAACAAGAAGAACTATTTTAAAAATAATATGTTTTCAATTTCTGAAACTAAATGTCTCTAATATAGAAAAAAAAGGTTCGAATCGTTAGTCTGCTTGTTCATTGCCAGATGACGCTGGCGGTACTATTTTCAAAGCACACTTCGATATAAAATTAAAAAATATATAAAGCAATAGTTATAAAATATTTTCACTTTTTAAATCATTCGATTTTATTCATTAACATACAATAGTTTCATGTATCAAATGCTAATTGTAATTATCATTAAAATAGTTTACTGATCTCTTCAGTTTTCACATCCGGAAGTAATCATTTCCGGTTTCTTCAGGAGAGGTGAGTGTTTGAAGTTGGTCTGCCAAATTGAGAGATATTTCCTTTTAATGTTTAGCATTATTTCTTATTAATAAGACAGTTACTATTCAAATTAATGTATAATTGTTTGTTATATAAATAATCATGAAAAAATACATGAAACTCTTCGAATTTTTAGAAATTCATGTTCATCGTGCTTGCATCGGAAAGTTACGTTGAGGCACGTAATTTGAAAACTTTTGGAGGGAAACGAGTGACCAGAAATGAACGAAGTAAAATCAAATCTTTTTATTATTCTCAAATAACTTAATTGTAATCTTTCATTTTTATTTGATGCCAGTATAAACTTTATCAAGTTAATAAAAGATTTATATAAATTATTCAGTTACTTTGATGCTATGAATGCATTTTTAATCGAGAACCGGAAGTTTCAGGTAATCTAACTATTCATCTTCTGGTCAGAGGATTCAATAAACATACAGAGGAGTTGTTTTTGCGTTGAATATTCACGAATTTCCATTGTTTTCTTCGTTATATCGAAAAGAGCGAAACTTACAGTTTACCGCACATTTCAGGGTTCCCGTCCGAGTTTCAGTTCTTTCGTTCGACCGTTCTGAGAGTAGGCTTACACTTAAAGAGAACGATGTTCAGCATATACATGTTTGTATGTAATAAAAGCAGGAAACAGATACCGATAAAATAGACATGATTTAATGGAGGGAAACAAAAGTACTAGAAATTGATCGCAATTAGGTAAGGTTATATTCTTTTGACAACGTAATTGTTTCTGGTATAATAATATTCTTGTATATGCCTTGTAATTTATTATAGTCGTATTGTACATAATGTTAATAATGTCCTATGCATATAGGTTATGTGTGACTTCACATACACATGTAAAATGAATTAATTTTATTGTAAGTATATCAATGTGTACAACTATGAATTTGCAATTTAAGTTAATGTATATTAATCATGTATCACATATAATCTAGTACACCAGTAGAATATTAAGTTTGAAATTAAACAAGTATACTTTATAGGAATTAGTACAAATGTTTAAAATATTAATTGAACATAACTGGATATAAAAGTACATAAGTTACATAAGATTAAAACTAAAGTTACAACAACTGTAATTGATAAGTATTAATTATACATATTATGTGATATTAAATTTAAAGTCATAGCAAGTATAATTCATAAGTATCAACTTTATATATTGGCTATACTAGTCAAATATAAATTAAATATTAATACACATCAATTATGTAGGATTAAATTTGAAATCAAAATAGATACAATTCATGAATATTAACTTACTATGTCCAACACAATTGAGAATATAAATCAATTTAATTTTAACACAAATCCACTATAACTCATAAGTAGATAAATGGATTTAACTAAGCACCTAGAATAGACATAAATAACAAATATGATCTGATATAAGCAGCTTAGTAAAGCCACTTTGCTACATTTCTAAATTGAGCATAGTGATCAAAATCATGAAGCAGATGTTTTTAATTCACTATAAGTCCAAATTTACTGTAGCCTTAGAATAAATCTACTTAATTTATGGACATAAATCGTCATTAATCCCCAATGCAACTAAACCAAATACAATTTATTACAGGTCAAGTATAAGCATAAGTCAGGATGGACGTGACGCGAGTGCAATTCATTATGTGCGGTTATGTAAAAGAAAAAGCGTGATGAAGAGAGAAAAAGAGAGTGGGAGAGAGCATACACAGCTAGAACTGAAAATAGACGGTCTTCCGATCAAATAAAAGGAATTGAGCGGCGTCTAAAAACTGCCGAAGGGCACATACACACGCGGGATCAAGAAATCCAGCTGTCAGACTATAAATTGTTCCATAGTTTACTTTGTATTCAGCAAATTTATTTGGACATTTTTCCTGAGTCAGTCAGATCGGTTTATATTCGCGACGTGATCCTTGCCGATGAATACGTCCTCTTCAGATTTCCACCCGTTCGCGAATGGTCGAATGTACATTCCGGCGCGATGGGGGCTTCTTTTGACTAACAGTAAATGTAGTTACCAAAGTTGTCAAGTTACCAAAACCCAGAATTAAAAAATTCTTTAATTCAAAAGTTTGTCAATCAAAATCTAGCAAGTAGTGTTGCCTTTTTCCAGCTACATTTTCTTGAAAGAAGCCTACTACGCCCGCTGGTGCACTTTGCTTTACTCAAATCGTTAATCATGCTTTTTCTAATCGCGTCATTTTTTTTTTAATAGTTACGTTGACATATATTTTTACATTAATCTTTTTTAACCTCATTCTCAAGATCAGAGTTATTTCAATATAGAATGAATTGATACTATGCTGAATGCTTCTTGTAATCAATCGCCTCATTACCAGAGTGATGATTGAATGGAGATTTATCTTCCATTTGAACTTGACATGAAATGCCTCGCAGATTCGGTTCTCCATCTCTCTCTTCACTTAAACTAATCTCCGGTTAACAAATTTGGCAGGAGGCGAATGTTAGGTTTATGAGAAGTTAATTTAGACCTGCTCATAAATTTGCCTCTTATATGTTATGTCTTGATGAAGTAAAACGACTGTATTCAGCTTGGCCCCGATTATTTTCGCGGACCCGAAAATTGGTCGTTGTAATTACCGTGTCTGCACCATTTCAGGACACATCATCTTGTCGGACGAATGGATATAGAGAAAAGGCGTACGCGCGTAGCGCGGTTGACCCGTTTAAAAAAGATCACCCTCGCATCTGTTGCTGAGCGCAACAGATCCTACAGTCGGAGAAGGAGGTTGTATCAGGGAGAAAGAGGATGAAATCTACGTCAATGTGTGCATGGTGAAATGCGATTTTTTTATCTCTTTTTTCCCCTCCTGGCATGACTCGCGGTTGCTGACGGCGATGCGAGTCTGTCTTGCAAATTTTCAACTAAGCTCATTGAACAATTTCAGCTGATTCGCAATTGATCACAGGGTGAATGTAGGGTTTGCTAAAAGTTGAGGAGAGTTATGAAGTTTAAGTTGTTTAAGTGGTTCGAATGAGATGGTTAACGAAACAGTGAATCATGAATGAAGGTTTGATATTGCTAGGGTAGTTCATACAAACATTAACTCATCCTTTTATGTGTATTTTTGTTGCGCAATATCAGCGCCCTACATAAACTTTGAGCTAATTTGAACACCCTACTACTTTTTACATAAAAGTAAAAACAATTGACAAACTAAACCCTTTGAAACTAGGTGTGTACCTCTCGCATATTTCTCCAAGATCAACGGTTTAATTCGTCGCTCATTAAAAAGATCCGCGGATACACGTTCACTCGTGGTCTCGCCATGCATTGTCACTGGAGAGAGCAAGAAAGTAAGAGCGAGAGGGGACAGGATCGTCGCGAAATATCATCCGTAGGAAGAGGAGAGGAATACGGATCATCATCGAGGAGAAGGAGGACAAGAGCGGTTACGAGGAAATCGAGAAAGACGCGTCGAAGGAGACAGAGAGTAAAAGCGGCCGCGTGGAAGGGGGGCACATCGGCGTGGGGGTAGGCCGTGCGAGTAAGCCCGACGAGCGCCGATGTGCCCGTCGGAGCAACGGAGATGGCGCATCGCGCTGGTAGGTGGAGCGACGGAGACGACGTGTCGCGCGCGAGCGAGAAAGTCAGAAGGAAGCGGCTCGACGGAGAGAGCAGAGAAAGAGGAAGCGGACGTCTCCGGGAGAGCGTGCGAGATAGAGCGACGGACCGTAAGGGAACGGCTGAAACCGACTCCGCGTGGAGAGGGGAAAAGCACCGGGCTTTTGAAAAAGTTTTATCTTGCCGGCGCGCTCGGCCTTTCAGACGCTACCGAACGCCGGTACGCTCTTGTACAGTGCCCCGTGTGTCCGGTGCTCGCACGAACCAGTTCCCAGAGACGAGCTCTTCGGCCACGGTATTCGCCGGTCCTCTGGCC